AAACGTTAGGAAACAAAACTTCCAGAACACGGCCACAAAGCCCGGAAGACCCACACCAGCCATCGATCTGTTAGTCCCTTGGAAGTCTGGTCCTGTCATGCTTAATCAGACATCCAAGGATCAGTCAAGGAATTCTGGTAATTTTTTTTCCCTCCTCAGAGCATGGTATTGGAGTCTGTATTTATTCTGAGTATGCTCAAACCTGTTGGCTGGGTTCATGTGGTTTGCTAAGCAATGGTTTGTTTAATCATTGCTTATTGAATAAACCACATTTTCAATTCTTAAATCATGGTTTACACATTACAAAGACTGGTTTCACATGTTACTAAGTCAAACCAAATTACTTTGTGGCATTGTGTAAAAACAGTCATTATCTCTTCTGTGTTCCTTGACTGAATTCTATAAATTCTGTTGAATCTAAGCCCTCTGTAAAAAGATTTCCCATCAAACCAATGGCCTGGATGTCTGTCTCTTCCTTATCATCCTTTCCTAGCACCATATCTCTGTCTCTCCTCCACACTTAGAGGTTCATACATCATGTTAAACTAGCTCTACTGTGCTTTTGTTGACAAATACAGAAATACTTTCTTGAACTTTTCATGGTCTCATGAATTTGTGTATTTCCTTGTCTAAATATTGTTCCGTGCATTTCCTTGAAGGCTAGGAACTTTTGAAAGCCAGAGTTTAGTATACTTTTGAAGTATGTGCAGTCAGGAATAAGTTAACTTTATGAATCAGGATTTAACTTTGAAATAAGTGGGAGCTAGAGCCTCCAACTAATATTTCATAGAGGGGTTTAAAAAAAAAAAAAAGCCTGGAAATGATGAGAGATATGCGGACTATCTACAGGAGAGTGAAAATGAAGGGATCAAAAGTTGGGATTTCATCATAAATTAACCCTGCTTTTTAAAAATTGGACTTGGAATTGGCCATAATCTATCTTTAGAAATAGTTACTGAATTCTGTTTTCCAACTGAAAAGAAATATTTAGCAGAGATGCTATTTGACTAAAAATTCACCAAAGGTATAGTTTTGACTTGCAAATAGGTGGGGAGAGGAAATGGGACTACTGATCCTCTCTTAATCTCTGGATATTTTCTATTATTTAAAAATCAAAACAACCAAATTTCCTCAGCTATTGTTATAACACGCAGTATGCATTTTGTTTTGAACTAACTTCTCCGTCTTATTTAGATGCTTGATTTTTATGTTTGCTTGAAGTCCATGGGTGAAGCACAAGATAACCCAGTTACAATGAAACATGGAATTTCTGGTCAGGGGGTTCCCAAAAGACAAAAAAGTGGCACTGAATCAACTTCAGAACCAAATCCGGGCAGCTGGGCATTACTGTGATTGCATCTTGAATTGAACTATCATCTCTTGTTGCTTTGAAAACCTATGACATCCTTGTATAGCATTTCATTTGGTTTGCCTTCATTATGCTAATGTCTGGAACACATTTATAACTCTTCCTCTATGAATCTGAAGTCAGTTCAGCACTTAAACTGAATACTTGAAATTATTTTTTCCTATTTCTTTTAATGATACAAATCATATCCTTTAGGGGTACAACCTATGCGTATAAGCTGATAGTACATAATGAAGTAGGATATACATCAAGTGAAGAAGTGATTGTTACAACATCAGGGTTTCCAAAGAAAGGCACTAATGTTGCTGCACAGCCTCTTAACCATACAGCTATAGAAGTGAAATGGGCCACTCCAAGTAAGTGTTCTTCTTGATTGTATCCACCATCTAACTTCAAATAGCTGGCTTTCAGTTACATACAAAGCACATTGTTTCTCTTTGCTTAAAGGTTGACCCCATCAATGTCTGATTTTTTAAAAAGTTTTGCAAACTAGAGTGATGTGAAAATTCTATCAGAGGTACGGCATCTATCAAGCAGAGCTATGAATCCAGAAAGTCCCCCAAATTATGAATCAGTTCTGTATAGAAAAGCATGATCCCATCCAGAACCAAAGATGAAATATACCTGGCATCAGAAGGCTTCTGACTCCAAAGCTACTTTATTTATACCTGGCATCAGAAGGCTTCTGACTCCAAAGCTACTTTATTTTGCTAGGATTCACTAAAGGGGTTCACTAAAGGGATTACCCTTTAGTGTAATCTTAATATACACACCTTCCCTAAAAATCCAAGCACCAAAATGAACACAAATGGAAAATGAAAACAATACAATGAAACTTTGGGAAAGGTGGGTTTATTGTAACAATGTAACTAAAAGGTTCTTCACACCTCTCCAGGACTCTGTCTGCACCTCCCAAGATTGTCTGTACTCTGTCTGCACTTCATAGTTTGGGAAACCGTGCCCTAGACTATTCATCCTCATCCAGATCCTAACAGTTTTCTGGCAGTGGGACAGAATTTTAACTGCATCTCCTGTCTGGCCTGGGGTTGAAATATACCAATACCGATCACACCTAACTTCATGTCAGCAGGTGACCTCACCCAGTGATCATGTAGATGTTGAATAAGAGGACAAGCGGGTCAAACCTCTGGAGTTCCCTTGGGTGCCATAACCCTCAACTGACAGGAAGCAGCCCTAGGATACCAAGAAGATAGTTGAGGTCATGCAGGACTAGGAAAGTCATGGTTCCCCTCTCCCAATCCTGCCACAGGTCATCCATCAATATAAACTTAGTTCCATACCCAGCCGGCACTCAGAACAAAAAGTGTCCAAATAATGTATTTCCTCCAGGACTCTCTGTAGCTGCAGACTGGGCTTCAAAGAGGCCACCATTGGGCTTGTGCTGCTTGCTAGCACCATAGATCCTTATGCCAGGACCTCTGGGCTACTCTAAATTTGACAAATTTAGAGATTTGCTTGAGATGCAATCAGTCTCCCTACATCTGGGCTACAATCAGGAGCTTGGCTGATACCCTCTGTGGTGGCCTGCCACCAACTACATCCCTTATTACAACAGCTGGCTTAGTTATAGGTGCTTTCCCACCAGGTTCATCAGCTCTTTCCTGGTCTTTGGCCTTTTTTTCTTTTTGCTTATCTTCCTTCTGATGCCATGATCTTTTCCCAAGAGTTAAGGACAGGTTCCTTAAAGGGAACAGGGGAAGTAAGAGAGCATTCTAGTTGCCACTCATCCTTCCTTCCACAGCAAGTACTAGGAACTTTCACAGCAATTGGTTTTCCTTAACATTGTTCCTCTTGATGGGAGCATAATATACTAAAGAAAAGGATGAGGATGAGGATGAGGATGAGGATCACTCTTCCTTGGGGAAGCTGAACCATGCATATAAATATATGTGGTACAATCTGTTAAGAACATCTTCTTAGAACAATCTAAGAAGAACCAGTTATTTCAGCAAATGAAGGTTATTTTAATTATTCAATACCATTCCAATTATTCAATACCAAATATTCAATACCAATTATTTCAGCTCACAAAGAGAACAATAGCAATCTCTGCCCAGCAGCAATAGAATATTTACTGCCTTCCATACTGGAGATAATCTGTAACCATCATGACAATTTGTCACTGATAGTCTGTCCCTCTAAGAATTGATCAAATCCTCATTTAAAGAAATCCAAGTTTCTGGTCATCAGTGTACCTGATGGTAGCAACTTCCACCAATTAATTGTGTGGTGTCCTAAGGATTTCATTTCCTTTGTCTTGAATTTCTCATCTTTCAGGATGTTCAGGTATTTTGAGCAAGGGAGATACGTTCTCCAAATATTATAGCCTCTTTCCCAAAGAACCTTCTGATTTTTTACCTCCACCTTTTCTTACTCTACAACATTCTTTCTGAGGTGATTAATTAAGAGGATTTGAGTGGAATGTAGAGAAGCAGTGATACTAAACTCTAAACAGTAGAGTAGTCAACATTTACTTGTGATTCTGGATGTGTTTTACAATGTGAAACCACATAAGAAGTTCTGAGCAGACAATACATCAATTCAAACCTTTCTGAGGTTGTCATATTATTTACAAATGCCAGCATTTCTGTACAGCCTGATCTTCCTTTGCAGAGGAGTTATGGATTTTCTGTATATGCAAATGTACACATTTGTGCTATGTCATCTTGAGAGGAACATATCCATTTAATCCAGATTACCTGTCCATCAAAGCAGTAGGCTAATTCTTCAATATGTACATGCAAATCTGTCTGTAAGCACTTACTAGTGACTCTCAGCAAATAGAGGCTCCTTATTTTATAATTGGATGCCTGAAGTAAGCATGCTTATAAAAACTGACAAACCTAATAGATCTGAAGCAGGCTGCTGAAGTTTCATTACTTTAGTAATTCAAACCTCTGACCATCTAGATAAAGGTAATGCAATCTGGCTTCATTTTCATTCTTACTGCACAAATTTCCTAGATACCTGTTTATGAATGCAAAGGTTAAACGTCAAGTGAGGGTCATTAAAGTAAACCCTCATTTATTCTTTCATTGCTTGATAGGCCTTATTCCAAGCAAATAAGCAATCTCCCTTCCTCCATTTTTTTTTTTTTTTTTGTCACAGGTCTGGAACAAATTTTCCCTGCTCTCCCCCCTCCCCCCATGAGTTCATCTGCAAACAACTTTTTTTTATGTCTTTGTTGCTAGTAGGTTCAGGGGTGAAATACAGTGCAAGAGTTTGGGAAACAGAAGCTGCGCTAAAATTAAGCTACAGAAATAAAAGAAAATGGAAATAGAAGCCTTATTCTGATGTTACATGTGGAAATATCAGTTCATGGGTGGCAGAGAGCTTGAGATTGTGCCTGTAGGCTTCTCCCCACTTTGCTTTTTCAAGCATTCGTTTGAAGTTCTGAACAGACTGTCTACGTTTAATTGATATGTGTTACGTTAAAAGCAGTGGCTCTCCAATGCTTCTCCCTCTGATCTCTTATAACAGTGTTGTCCAAACTTGGCCACTTTAAGATGAGTGGACTTCAACTCTCAGAATTCCCCAGCCAGCCATGCTGGCT